TTGAGAGGGGCGGACGCTGTTTCCTTTGAAAAGTGTTGAAGAGGGGCTGACGCCTGGGCTGTTTGTGGATTGGGTGTGCGCAGGTGAAGCTGTCGATGGCGCTGGCGAAGCAGATCTTGCAGTCGTGTTTCCCAATGTGTGTGTGTGTGTCTGTGTGTGTTCCAATGCAACATAAAAAAAAAAAAAAATGATGTGCGCACCTGGCGCATATGTGGCCCGCCAGCGCGCACCCTCCAGCCCACCCGCGTGCAACGCACCGGCCCTGTGCGCAGCGCATCGCGCACTGCGCAGCCAGGTGCGTGGCGCGCGCCGGTGCTCGCGCACCTTGGGGCCGCGCATCACGCAGCGCACAGGGCTGATGCGCTACAAGTATGGTCAAAAGTATTTTCTTTTTTGAAAATCTCAAAAATACGTAGGAATAATCATTCTTTCTCGGCGTTTCTTCTTTGAAAGTTCCTCCCTCGAATTCCTTTTAAATTTCTCTCCAAGGCGTATTCTCGAATGAACCTCGAATAACACTAATTAATTCGAATCGGAAGTAATCCATTTTAATTCTGCAAAAATTATTTCCTTGTAAAATATCTTCTTTTGATGCTCTTGTTAATAGGAAACCACCCTGCCCCCCCCCTCGGGCATGCCACGCTAAACCAGGAACTCTCAACGTGCAGCCGCCGAAGCCGCCGCTGCTGCCGCCGCCTCCACCTCATCTGCTGCTAACTCCTCAACCGCCGCGACCACCGCTTCCCCCCCCACCATGGCCCAATCATCCAACATTGATATGTCCGGCATCCGCACCGACTCCGTCGACAACATCGCCCGGTGGCAGGCGACCAACCAGCCGCAACCCCCGCCGCACCCGACTTGGCGGCCCTACTCCAGATCATGCAATCCCTCCAATCATCCATCTCCCTCGTAAACACCTCCATCACCGACATAAAGACCTCCATCTCTACCATCTCCAACCGCGTCGTTGCAATCGAAGGAAACAGCCCCGCCATCACGGTCGTCACAACAACCTCCCCCCAAACTACATCTGCACCACTTCCCTTCCCGTCCACATCCACCGTCCTCTCCGCCAGAACGTCATCCACACCCCCGCCCACATCTACCACTACCCCCACCATAGTCACGCAGCCGACAAACCCCACTGTCACACAATCGTCAACCATCCCCCCCCAGTCAAAACCCATCTTGACTTCGTCCGTTATCACCTCCACCCTCCCCAGCTATACTCAGACTATTCGACAAGCTGCGTATCCCGCCCTTCCACTACTCCCCAATGCTTTCATCCCCACCAACCCCGCCAACGATTTCACCCTGGTCGACTCCTCCGCTCCCACCCTTGATTTCAATGCCCCGCCACTACCGACAGAGTAGGAAAAATCCCTCCATCCTTCTGCGCCAACGAGATTCCCACTTTCTCAGGCCAACCCCATGAGGATGTCTTCCTCTTTCTTGACTTCAACAAACCTTCTCCCTCCACAACATCCTTGTCGTCCAATGGCTCCCCATCGCCGGCAGCAGACTCCTCGACAGTGCCGCTCGCTGGTGGTACACCGAAATGACCAACCGCCATCACGCCAATCTCCGACCTCACACCTTCCTCGAGTGGGCCACCCTCATCACCTCCACCTTCTGTCCACAGAAAACGGTCAACGACTACATCGACCAATTCTGCCGAATCCAACAAAACGGCCCCACCGACCGTTTCGTACAATACGTCCGCTCACTTCGCCAACATATCCCCATCGAAATCGTCAGTGACATCGCATTCATCTCCGGCGTTAAGCGCGTATGCCGCAAAGACCTAGCGGCCATCCTCGTCCGCGAGCCATCCATGACCCTTGTCGACCTCCTCACTCGTGCCCTCCAAATCGACGACGTCCTCTCGCCCTACAAGACCGCACTTACATCGGCCCCTCCCCGCCCTCGCTTCTTCCACAACATCACCTCCGAGGACATCTTCTCCACCACCTCCTCGGACGAGTTCTCCACCCCCGACCCCGACACCCTCTCCAATCCACTAGACATCATGTCGCTCTCTCCCGATGAACTCTCTACCATCCACCTCATGCGGATGGAAAAGAGAGAACGCTCTAGCCACCCTCCCCCGACCACCCTCCCGGGCCGCCTCAAGAAACTCACACCCAAGGAAAAAGCCTACCTTCAGGCAAAAGGTGGATGCTTCCGGTGCCGACAAATAGGCCACCAACAAACCAACTTCCCACTTGCTAGACAATTCACACCCCATCCCACCACCACACAACTAGCTACTTCCTCATCCGCCACTCCCGGGCCCTCCTCCACTTGAACACTGTCCCCATGTTCACCACACACCCGTCCCGGCATCGATCTCCCATCGGTGACGATCTCCACCCCACCGGTGACCCATTTGGCATCGACAATACGTCTGCCTCTCCCCTCTCCGGTGCCGCGCATCCCACCACACGGCCCCCAGGCGTCGCAACCCTCGTCGCCTGACGCCCCCCCCACCGCCACATGTTCCGCAACCCTCCTTTCGAATCCATCCTCTGTCACCTTCTCTGATGTTGTTGAGGAACAACCCCGACACGATCGGCTTGTCCGATTAGGCAATGAACAACGCCGCCTCAACACCATTATTTCCACCGCCAACTCATCACGCTTTCACCTCAAATTCATCGCTGCCACCCTTGGTGCGTCTACGACTAAGTTCCGGGCCCTCCTCGACATTGGAGCCACCGGTAACTTCATCACCGACGCGTGTGTCGGGAAAGTCGGTCTTACCTCTACCGGTTACGACTCCCCGATTACGATTCGTTTGGGGGACAAAGACACCGTCGTCGTAGTAGACCGCACGGTTCCCGAGACCATTATGACTGTTGGAACCCTCCGCAATCAGGTCTCATTTGATGTCATGCACTTAATGTGCGATATCGTTTTGGGAACACCGTGGCTGGATCGGTACATGCCATACGCATTCCACCCCAACTTCCTCCGCCTCACCAACCCCACCGACACAACCATTGACATTCCCTATCTCCCCTTTCCCGCCTCTCAAAACTCCGTCACCCCACACCAATTCCTCCACATGGCTCGCATGAACCCTGACTCCACCTACTATTGCCTTGTCCTTGATCGCGAGCGTCCCAAGGACTTGCTCCCAACAGACAAACCCGACCAAGCCCCCCCCTCTGACCCCGCCCTCACCTCCATCTTCGACGAGTTCAAGGACGTCTTCCCCGAGTCGTTGCCTGCCGGACTACCTCCGGATCGTAGCGTATCCCACACCATCGATTTGGAGCCCGGTCATTCTCCACCTTGCCGCCCTCCGTACCAACTCTCCGTTCCCGAAGCCGAAGAAATGAAGCGGCAACTCAATGAACTCCTTGAAAAAGGATTCATTAAGCCGAGCTCATCCCCCTTCGGTACGAGCTGCCTTTTTGTAAAGAAAGGCGGAACATCGGAACTACGGATGTGCACAGACTACCGCGCCTTAAACCGGATCACGATCAAGAACAAGTACCCCCTACCTCGGATCTCCGAGCTTCTTGATCGACTCCGTGGAGCCAAGTATTTCACCAAAATCGACCTTCGTAATGGTTTCCACCAGATCCGCATCCGCGAGGAGGACACCCACAAGACCGCATTCCGCTCCCGGTTCGGGCACTACGAGTTCCTCGTGATGCTTTTCAGACTTACCAATGCCCCTGCCACATTTCAGTCCACCATGAATCACATCTTCCGCAACCTCCTCGAAGTCTGTGTTGTCGTCTACCTCGATGACATCCTCGTCTATAGCCCCACCTTCGAGTCCCACCTTCAGCATCTCCGCCAGGTCCTCTCTATCCTCAGAGAGCAAAAATTATACACCAAGCTTAGCAAATCCACCTTTGGCGCTTCAAGCGTTGAATACCTTGGCCACATCGTCTCTGCTGAAGGCATCAACATGGACCCCTCGAAGGTCACCGCCCTCATCGAGTATCCACCTCCCAAGACCCTACTCCAACTCCGATCATTTCTCGACCTTGCCAACTACTACCGCAACTTCTCCGACATCTCGTACCCTCTCCACGAACTCACCCGCAAGGACGAACCCTTAACTTGGAACGACCGCCGCCAAAACACCTTCGATCCCATAAAACAACTCGTCACCACCGCCCCCGTCCTCAAGATCGCCGACCCCACTCGCCATTTCTACGTCACCACCGACGCCTCCGACTTCGCCATTGGAGTTGTCCTATCTCAACATTTCCCTCGTGACACCACTGAAATTCCCTCCGTCAAGGAATCCCCTACCCACCCCGAGCCTCCACCCGGCGAATACCCCATCGCCTTCGCCTGCAAGAAGCGCCTTCCCGCAGAGATGAACTACCCCTCCAACGAGAAGGAACTCCTTGCTGTGATTCACGCCCTCACAGTCTGCCCGTACCTCCACGGACAAGATTTCACCTTCCGCACGGATGACACCATCGTCTCTTCTATCCTAACGAAGAAAGACATTACCCACAACAAGCCCATTGGTTAGACTTTCTTGCCCAATTCACATTCACCATTTGCCACACCCCCGACAAAAGCAACCGCGTTGCCGATGCCCTCTCTCGATGCCTTGACCATAAGCCCTCTGAGAAAGTCTACGCCGCCAGGACTCATATCCAACTCCTCCCATCACTCCACCACCGCTACACCCAAGGCTACCTCTCTTGCCCGAATTTCTCAACAATCTACACCTCAACTCAATTCCCGACTACTCCCTTCACGACCAACTTCTTTACATTGACACCAAAGGCACTCGCCGACTTTGCATCCCCGACGCACGTGGCCTCCGTACCCAGCTCTTGGCCGAGCATCACGACGCCAAGACTGCAGGACACCTCGGGTTCCAAAAAACCTTTGACACCAACTCTCGTTACTTCTACTGGCCTTCCTGGCCTTCCCTACTCGCCAATGTCAAAGCCTACATCCGCTCATGCCCCACATGTCAAGCCGTCAACCCCTCAAACCGCGACAAGCCCGACAAGCTACAATCATTGCCGATCCCCACCCACCGGTGACCGCTTGTGTGAGAGGCGGTTAATGGAAGATAAAAATTCGGCGAATTTTAGCGAATTTTTCACCGAAACAGCCATATTTCCTTGAATTCTTACTTTTTTCAGGTTTTTTTTTTTTCGGCTGATATGTATGTGCTTTATGGTAAATCCGTATTCAATTTCACCGTATTTGGACCAGTAACGAAAAACTTAGCAAAAACGCCGGACTCGAAAACGATTTGGCGAACTCCGAAAGCTACTCCGAATAGGGTTTATAGTGCTCTTGAGTTTGTTTTTTTTGTTTTTTTTTTGCCTGTTTGGTTTTTTGATGTTTGTATTATGACCCTGCAGAGAACATTGCTTGTAGCAATGCGGCGAAAAACCCCAAAATTTTCGCCTTCCATTAACCGCTTGTGATTATCGCCGGCGACGCGCAGGGGCCTCACAAAGATCTTGGACAAGAGAGACAAGGGGATAAGGCGGAGGCAAGAGCGGATCAGACAGGGGGGGGGGGTTCAAGAGGCAAGGGCTTCGCCGGGTACAGGGGTGTATGTAGGGCAGGAATGCGGAGTTTTGACGGGGTCAAGGCGGGGTTTATGCAAGGGTTTTGATGGTATTCTTTGAGGTACTCTATGTGGAAGACAGGGTGGACGCAAGCCATGTCAGGAGGGAGTTGGAGTTTGTAGTTCACTTTGGAGGTTTGTTCAATGATGGGGAAGGGTCCAAGCCACTTATTCGAGAGTTTCTTGGACAAGTCGTGTTCGGGTTCAAAGCATTTGGCGGAGAGCTAGACTTTGTGCCCTACTTTGAATGACACGTCACGTCTGTGTTTGTTAGTCTTGTTGGCTTGTTGTTCTTGTGTTCGTTCGAGGGCTTCGGTGGCGTCTCTGAGGAGTCTGTTCATTGTTGCTACCCATTCATTGAGAGAAGGGCAGGGGGTGGATGGGTTAAGTTGCGAGGGGAGCAGAAAGTCAGAGGGCAAGCGCGGATGATAGCCAAGGTCGAGGTAGAATGGAGTCGTGCCAGTGGAAGGACAAACAACATTGTTGTAGGCGATCTCAGCGGTAGTGAGCAACTGATCCCAATCGTGTTGGTGTGGGTGACAATACTTCCGTAGGATTCTTTGGAGAGTATCGTTCATCTTCTCTGTTTGTCCGTCGGTCTGTGGATGGAATGCATTGTTGTACTTGAGCGTGGTTCCATAGGCCTTGAAGAGGTGTTTCCAAAATTGTGAGAGGAAGCGGGGGTCACGATCACTGATTATATTCTCGGGGAGGCCATGGTGGCGTGTAACATGGTCAAAGAAGAGTGTGGCAACGTCTTTTACAAACATCAAAAAACCAAACAGGCAAAAAACAAACAAAAAAAACAAACTCAAGAGCACTATAAAAACCTATTCGGAGTAGCTTCCGGAGTTCGCCAAATCGTTTTTCGAGTCCGGCGTTTTTGCTAAGTTTTTCGTTACTGGTCCAAATACGGTGAAATTGAATACGGATATACCATAAAGCACATACATATCTGCCAAAAAAAAAAAACTGAAAAAAGTTAGAATTCAAGGAAATATGGCAGTTTCGGTGAAAAATTCGCTAAAATTCGCCGAATTTTGGATCTTCCATTAACCGCCTCTCGCGATAATGGATCTAATGGCAAGCGCACGAGGACGATGGCATGCTGCAGCTCAGTACGAGGAGATAAGACAGCTGGTTGGCCACCATGCTGATCCCTTTGGCCGACACCTTGGACTCGCCGACTTCTGGAGCAGCACCTCCGACATGGACATTAAGACCAGTCTGCGACCTGCTATCCGGATGAGAGGCGGTTAATGGAAGATCCAAAATTCGGCGAATTTTAGCGAATTTTTCACCGAAACTGCCGATGTCATGCTGCAGCTCAGTACGAGGAGATAAGACAGCTGGTTGGCCACCATGCTGATCCCTTTGGCCGGCACCTTGGACT